AGTTTAAAAAAATAATATTTAACTTTATCTGGGATAATAAAAGAGAAAGGTTAAAAGATCTGTTGTTTGTACAAAGTATGCTAACGGAGGATTAAACATGATTGATGTAGATACATATATTGAATCATTAAAAATAAATTGGATTAAAAGATTAGTTAACAATGATGATATGTTACCGAACTGGAAAGTTATTCCTCAGTTCTACTTTGATAAACTAGGAAAAAATTACTTAATTTTCTATATGAACATAGATAAAACACAAGATATAGAGAGTTTAAAAAACAATGTAACACCATTTTACTTCGAAATAATTAAAGCATGGGTGAAATTGAAAAACAGAAGAACAGAATCCCAAATAATTTTATTGAAATAAGAAAACAAATAATATGGGGAAACAAATGCATACAATCAAATGATAAATGTCTAATCTATAATCAATGGATTAAAAATAATATACTATATATTAATGATCTCCTGGATGATAATGGAGATATTTCTCAAAATTTGATATTAAACAAACTATCATCTCATTGCAATTGGTTCGCAGAATATACAAAATTAAAAAAGGCATTACCAAACCAATGGTTAAATTTACTTAAAGAAGAAAAATCAAAGCGAACAAAAGTTTATTTTTACAAAAAATTGGAAATAGTATGTAAAAATCATACAAAGTATGAGTTTCAAAAAGTAACAACAAAAGATATAATTATATAATATACTACTACAATCTAACATAGAAACACCAATATGTTTAGTAAAGTGGAAAAATATTTAGCAAGTTGAAGATATTAATTTGAACACAATATACTGTTTATTTTTAGATATTTAAAAAATAATAAATTGAAAATATTGAGATGGAAATTGTTACATTGGATACTGCCCTGTAAACAAATACTAGAAACTTGGAAAATAGTAGATACTCCTTTATTTAATATATGAAATGTTAAGGAGAATGATGAACATTTCTTTATCACCTGCAAATATTTTTGAATTTTTTGGGAAAGTATTAGATTAATTCTTAATAAACTCAAAATTGGATATCACATTGAAAGTTAAGAAAATCTAATAAAATTATTTGGATATAAAATAACTGATGATAAGTATGATTTTTTTAATAACAGTAGTAATATTTAATAGAAATGAAAAAGAAGTAAATGTGTTTGCTATACTAAAGTTTGAATTTCTGTCAAGAGTAAACCACTACAAAGCAATGAAACAAGAAGTAATCTTTACGCTGAAGCAAATTGGAAGTATTTTAAAAAATCTCTTTTTACTTCTTAGCTAAAACTGTTTAATACCACATGTTCCAGAGACACTAAACAGCAAAAGCCAAAACCAATAGTGATATACTCACAAATTGTTAAATTAAATCCCAACTGCATGTTTTTGTTATACATGTTATAGTAGTTTGTATAATATAGGACGATTTATTAGTAAATTATGATATACGGAAAAACACTGTTATATTTCCGGAAAATTGTAAATTGTAATTTATACTTATGTTTATAGTATTAGTATCAATAGGTAACCCTAAACATATTATTTATAGTATTTAGGGTTTCTAAGGAGAAAGCTGTATCCTTAAAAGATTTATACACAGCTTAAAAAAAAAAAAACAATTGCCATTTTCCTAGCTTGGTAGAGGCATTTTGTAAGAAAAAATGGTAGATTTAACAACATCGTTGATAGTTAACACTGTTTATAGTATATGCATTCCCTCGATAAAATAAAAAATAAAGTTTATATACAACTAAGGGTAAACAAAATAGAATAACACTATAAAAACTCATCGAGTCCAAAGCGCACCCCAGGATCCACATGCACCAGCAAAAAAAAATACTCAAAAAGTTCAAAAACTGATAGCGGGATGTATATAAATACCAATTCAAAAGTCATACAGCCCCCAAAAACTTATAAACAAAACTTGCATTTTACTCCTATGTTCTTTTTTTAGCTATTTCGACCATGACACAATTTTAAAATTAGATATCCCGTTGATGATTGTAAATACGTTTGATTAAATTGACCTAGTAGTTTCAGAGGGGAAGATTTTTGTAAAAAGTTAATGAACTATGGATGACGAAAGACGATTGACGAGGAGTGATGAGAAAAGCTAACACTGGCTCTTCGGACTAAATGAGCTAAAAATAGCTAATTACATTAACAGGAATGGGTTAAGCTCCGTGTTGAAGACCGTACTTTTACCTATAATGGTTTTTCTATTACAAATTGTGACTTGGGGGAGAGTTGTCTCATTGGCACTCATACCACAACTTCTTATATCTATATGTTGTGTAAATTTCAAAGGATTGATTATGGTGTAGAATAATATCATTACTTGTTGTTATTTGGCCGGCAGTAAAACCCTTGCCAAATGTGGCGGGCACAGTGTATATCTCGCAGTCACGTCAGAATAAGAATACTACACCCAAAGCTTCGTAACGAGATAGTGCTACGGCAATTTCAGAACCCTTATAACAATATTTTAGGGGTTTATTGGTAGCCTGTTGCAACGTTAAACTTCTGTTCCTATCAAATATACTCTCATTTTCCAGTATCAAATAAACATTCACGTCTACCATCCCAGTCAATGTTATCTATTATATAATAGTTAAATTGTTCTCGTCCTGAACATGAATGCAATAGTTGCAACTGGACGTTAAAAACAATCAAATTTAATTCAGATAAAATTGACATTTCAGGCTATAATAATATACAATTGTTTACAGTTTGAAACAATACTATGGCTTTTACCATATGACCGTAAACCTTATTAAATATGATAACCACTAGTCAAAGAATTTTTGTCAGTAACGGTCATTTTGATCTTGACATCATCTGAAAAGCTGAAAAGTCATGTTCAGTCGTGTGGTCAATTTTCAGTTTAATTGACTGCGTTAAATTCAGTAATGTTCAGACTTTTGCTGTTTTCGTAGGCGCCTTTTTTGTCTCTGTAATAACTATTCACAAATATTTTATACTTTGCAACGGTCAGGGTGATTGAGGGCTAAACATGTCATTTTGAAATCGATCTATCGTTACATGTCATAGGTTGATATTTCGACATTGTAATTTTAAGACAATGCTTTGCGGTCTAACTGATGTAGTCTCCATATCTTCTATTATTCATATAACACAGTTTGAAATAAACAATTTATAAACTTATAGTTTCTATTGAAAAATTCTCCTCAGTCATTGTATTAAAAATATTATTCCAGGAACTAACTTTCTACTGAAAGACATAGAAATACTGCTGTAACAGAATCACGAGGATTTTTTTCTTAGTTTATCTTGACGCAATATGAGTTAAAAAGTGAAGCTGTCTATAAGTTGAAGGTTCTTAGACACAGTACCGATCTGAGAATACTCGTAATAACTGAAATCTAAATCAAAGCCCATATAAACATGTTTTCCAATTACTGTTAATCAAAACATATTTACTGGTTATTTTAAAATAGCAAAATATTACTGAAATACAATGAGACTGTTACTACATGTGATTGGAAAGTCAAATTTAGGTAACTAAAATTATTGAGTTACTTTTAACTCTCATTTTTAAACGATCTTGTGTAAAACATTTTTTAAACGATTGATTGTTTTTTGTTTAACAGATTTCTCAGAATTATTGTGATGTAGCGTGGTGGTCAGTTTTTATTGGTGCAGGAAACCGGCGTAGCCGGAGAGAACTACTTAGACCACTCGGCAAACGAGGTCCAAATTTATTTTAAATACTAAATGTTCACAAAAATCGTAAAACTGGTTTTATTTGTTTTATATATATTTGTTTTTTTTTTTCTCTAACCATTGCATGAAAATCCTTTAACACTTGTCATATCTAGTGTTTTAAATTAATTTAGGTCATGCACATATGATACAAATAACATTATTATATGGAATATTGAATTGTTACATTGTATACCTACTGAACTGTTTGTTTTATAATTACATATTAGACGTTTTGATTGTATCTGTAAGTAAATTAACATTTCGAAAGTAGATACATGTGTTATAGTGTTCTTTTATTTTTCTTTGTAAATTATTAAGCTGTACTGTCTAGTCCATTTTTTGTAATATCCTTTTAGCGTGGCTCGTAACTTATAGATACTGCGATTGTGTTATTGTGCTATGGTCATTTTTTGTATTTTTGATTGACTTTTGCGCTCGCTTATATGCTTTGCCTGTATGCCATTTTGTTTTTCGTTATTTACATATTTGTTTGTTTTATAGTGATTAAGATTATAACACAATTTTGACTGCTGTTTCCTTATTTTTGACATTTTAACCTGTTATGTCTGTTTGTTTTGTTCACATGTTGTTTTCAATATAATGGAATTTTATGACACTGCCATACAAATGAGATGTTAAGATAGCTATAAAAATATAAAACCAGGTTTAATCCACCATTTTCTACATACGGAAATGCTGTAACAAACCAAAAACATGACAGTTGTTTAACATTCGATTGAAGTGCTTGAGCTTTTGATTTGGTAAGGGACTTTCCATTTTGATTTCTCTTTGGGGATCGTTATTTTGGTTATTTTACTTTTTATGAATATGGAAGTATAGGTATAAAATTTTTCAAATTTACATCATGATGTATGTTAAAAAAAGATCAAAGCTCATCTGTAAACACGTTATAATATAATTTTAAAATGAAACTTTTCTTGTTTGTAAAATTTAAAAAAAAAAACAGACCAAAATTAGGGAATATTGAAAGAACATAGAGTACTTTCGATTTGTTTTTTAAATAGAAGATACTTAGGGGGAAATATTTTATAATATTTTAATTTAAGCTCGGTATTTAATAGAATGTTTGGAGTTATAATGCCGGCCGGTATTTTCAAAAAATTAATTTAGGTCAGCAGTTTAGACTGAGAGGGTGTTACATATGATAGAACAAATACCAAACATAATTTATACATCGTATACCTACTCAATTGGTGTATAGTTACATGACAATAGATTATATAGATCCTTTATTAATTAATTACTATTGTTGTTGGAAGTGCGATTTTCGTAAAATATTATTTCGAAAGTAGACATATATAATACTTATAATATAAGTTAAGCAATTTATAAACTTACTTTAGACGATCATTTCAAAAGGTAAGATTAATGTTCAAAATTAATATCACAATTATTGTACATACATTCGAGGTCGGCCATTTGACTTTCAAGGGGGCAAGGATGTTTTTTACATGAATATATTTAGAGCTGAAAAACAAATGATCTTGCATAGGTTTGGATGAAAATAAATATGATGCAGCATAAAATGCAGACATCAATCGTTTGCTGTAATGCAAAGTAATTTGTTTAAAAAGGAAGATATATACATGATATTGGGGCTAACCCATCGTCTTCAAATATTTTGAATATGGCATGAAATGTTTTAATTTTAAGCAATATTATTATTGTGGATATAATTGTTGTAGATATATTTTTCGAAACTGTTTCTTTTATCAACATTTGCACTTTTGTATTGTATTTTTCAGAAAACAATTCAAGCTTTATTTTATATTCATAAACAATATAATAATGTATTGAAATGATAACGTTGTAAACAAAAACATATTGTAAACAAATTTATTTACAAGTTATAAGATAAAATGCTTTTCTATCTAAGTCTTTTTTTATTCTCATTAAATATGGCAGTTGTTATCAAATAGTCCATTTCTATGTATGTTGGCATTTGATTTTTGCATTACCTGTTTCGGTTGTTCTGTTGGTTTTTACTTTCTTTCTTATAATTGGTGTGTTTCCCTCGGTTTAGGTCTGTGACTCGGATATTTTTCACTTACTCGATTTATGACTATGAAACAGCGGTATACTACTGTTGCCTTTAATTAAGCTACTGCCAAAATATGAGGTCAATAAATAGTGTCAGTAGTGTTGAAAAAATTTGACAAAAAGCTCCAAATTCAATAGGAGTGTAGTATAATAAAAACATAGACAATGCTACCAACTATCGTTGATTTACGATTTGCAATCTATCTTTCTATTGTGTCTTTAATATCTTATATCTCTTTTAACACCTTTTATACATGTATCTATTAGAATTCAATGTATATGTTCAGACACTTGTCAGATCGTGACAGTGTGTACATTTTACATAATATCATTATTAAGATCAACAAATTACACAAAGCAGGTGTTCTGTGCGATAATACTAATACAAAACTTAATTGGTTCATGGTATCATATGGCAAAATTTGTAGTACTTTGCTAATTTGCATAGCGGTCATATTGTTTTATCATGACGACAGCCATTACTATAGGATTATACATGCTCCTTAAATATAAATGCAAATATGCAAATTCCTATGTCGAATCAAGAATTTATTTGTCCGCATATAGGTGAAAAGTAAAATCACAAAAATACTGAACTCCGAGGAAAATTCAAAAAGGAAAGTCCCTAATCAAATGGCAATGTGTTTTGGCTTTGGAATTGTACATGTGTTTTGGCTTTTACAAATAAACAATGTCTACTTTAAAAACTTTCGGTCTTTTTAATTTGAAAATCGGAAGCGTAACCGTAGTATAATTGTTGTATAAAGTAACGAAATATCGTACAAAAATCAAGATTCAAATCAGAAATAAAGAAACAAGAAAATATTGTTCATGATTTGTCCGCATACAGGGACACACCTTGTAGGTTGATTTTTTGGGTTAAATAACTTTTATCTTACCTGCTTTCTTAACTTTTTGTCCAAATTCTTTTAAAAACATAATGATTTCGTAAATTGTCAAATTTTAAGCATTTTTCCTTAGAATTACACAACATTTTTGTAAATATCCGCCAAAGGAAGTTTTCAAAGACATTAGTTTTAGATCCAAGACGGAAAAGGACTGAATTATCCGCAAATTTGATATAATTTTTATTTTAAATCTACAACTAAGGGAAGTAATTTTATCAAAAGGGACAAAGTCACGTGGAGCAAATCATATGTATAAAGTACCTAGGATTTTGCCATATGATACCTCCTGTTTGTTGTATAATTTCAACACCTTATTATTTAACATTCATTATTGTTGGAACTATAATTTTTGAAGTAGACACATATGACGTATTGGATTTTAATGGATGTAATCTATGTATTTGTAAATTATTAGTGGAGGGATTTGGTTACAACAAATTACTTAAAACCTTTACTAGAAACAATCCGGGTAAACTTATCGATCCTTTTTATCTATTGTTTTTATTGGTACAACTATTGATTTTGTTATCAGTAAATTAACAGCAAACTAAATATTATTGTTATTTACATATGCACATTCGTGGATCTACAATCGGTCGATACCTGTATCTTGGTCATGTTTTTCCCTGACTTGTTCATGACATAAATCTATTGGATGTTGAATGTGTTATGATTGATAATTAAGTCTTAGATACATGATGTCTTTTAGAAGTTGTTTTTGGCTTTGAACTAGCTGTCTCGCAGATCTGTACTAAGTGTCTCTTTGTTGTTTGGATGTACAATTGCCCGGCGACGTCCACTCTGTGTTTTTGTTAAATGTATTTCTATTTGTATCCATCTCATGAGTTAAGCCTTTTTCGACTGATTTTTATAGTTTGAACTTATGTTGTACTGTTACACCACTGTCCCAGATTAGGTGGAAGGTTTGGATCCCACTAACATGTTTAACCCCGTCACATTCTGTATGTATGTGCCTGTAATTCAGTGGTTGTCGTTTGTTGCTGTGTTAAATATTTATTTTTGTTCATTTTTGTACATAAATTAGAACGTTAGATTTATCGTTTGAATGTTTTACATATTTCATTTCGGGAACTTTGAATTTGGTCCTGAATTTACTTTTTTGGCGTTAAAATAGAGGTAGATCATTTTTGACAGTTTTTTTTTCTCATTCACATTTTTTTTTTTCATTGTGTGTATTTCAGAAAAATAGATCAAAATCAAGTTCAAATTTAAAATAAAATATCTCTAATTACCTTTCAGTTCATTTTTTTTTACATATATCGGTACTAAGTTCCATTATCATATACACAACACGACATTTGCAGATGTTTGTTTAGTGATGTCCGATAAATACAACAAATGAATTTATTTCTTTTGCAATTATAGTTATTTATTCATACAATTTTGAAGGTATTGCATAACATATGAAAGTTTTTAATTGAGCTTTTTCTTTTTTCTAAGCAAACTGTTTGCTCCAAGCAAAAACAAATAACAACGGAATTCAAATGAGAAAATAAGAAGCAAATAAGAATATGTTCAGTTAATTTCAGTTTTAGAACCATTTTTATTTGTTTTAGATGGGGGACAGTACACATATAATTCCCGGTTTGTTCGACTTGAATCTCAACATCATGTTTCAAAATGACATGCATGTCATTGAAGATACGATAAAAAGTTTGTATAAACGCTTAACCCAGGAACACAAAGTGGTGCATAATGTTTTAAACAATATGATAGCGGTTGTGAAGAGTAAGCCTTGGCGAGGAAAAAATGATTCAATAATATGCCTTGAGAACATTCTAGAACGTGATCCTAGAAATTTAAACGCGCTTGCTGACATCGAATATTTATGTCGCTGCGTACACAGAGTAACTGAAGCTGACATGTACAAGGAAGTGTTAGATGCAATTCTAAATGGAGGGAAAATAGAAGACAGAAGAAGTAAAGCGATCTGTTTAATGGAACAAGGATATGCCGTACTGTATGACGAGGATGCAAATGTAGAACATATCACAAAAGACAGGTTATCCGAAACTTATCGCATGCTACTTTCAGAACATAAAAAAGGCACTGGGAAACGATACAACTGTTTCCAATTGTGTATATTCCACAATAAGGAGGCATTATTACATCTACAAAGGTCAATAGAGATGGAAAGAGAAAATCAGTTCCTTTTTAGAAGACAAAGAGCCCTCGATAAGTTCAAAAAATCCAAGACGCTATACCAACTAAGTTTTATCTGGTCTTTTTATGAAGGTGTTGCACTAAATCGTAAATTTAACTCGCTAAAGGAAATGTGTCAAGAAGACCGTATAAATAGAGACAGGGAAAAAAGGTCTGTTACTTTGGAAGCAGCCGAAATATTTTGGAAAATTATAAATCATAGAAAATTTGATGTTCAACAGTGCTTGATTTATAAATCTAGATCATTGGCTTTGCTTGGCCACATGCTTTTAAAACGTTCCTACTACTTTAAATATTTCAACAAAAATCGTTTTGCAAATTTTCATCGTTTTAATTATTATTTCACTGAACCTCTCGGTGCTTTAGAGGAAGCTTATTATATGAACACAAACGATACATTTGTTTTGAATCGATTTGGGCGAACCCTGATGATATCAGCGTGTGTGAGTGGGGTTCCGAATATTAAAAGATCTTTTCTTCAAAGAGCAGAATATTTATTGTCCAAATCTATACGACATGACACTTTTAACTGGTTTGCGTACTCAACTCGAATGTCAGTTAGAAGACAATTAGCACTGGAATATATAAGTTTTGATACTGATACTGCTAAACAATTACTAATTGAAGCAGCAAATGATGGATACCAATGTTTCTGCTCTAAAGGGACATCCAAATCGATCTGCGAAGCAGTTGATATTTGTCAGTATTTGGCAAAATTTCCAGTCATTAGATCAAATGGATCGGAGTACGTTGCCTTTAATCAGAAGAGTCATTTACTTGATGCTCTTGACTATTTGAATTATGGCATTCAACAGTCTGGACCAACGAACTTTTACCTGGTCTATAAAATGGGGGCAGTTCTGTACGACTTAGATGAATTGAAACCTGCAATAGATTGGATGAAAAGAGCTTTGTCGTTGTCACATACTAAAAATAGTATGTCGCTGAAAGTTACTTGTTTTTATATGTTGAGAAAATATAGCATCGACGTTGCTAATAATGCAAATATACAATATATAATTAAGGATTTCGTTTAAACATTGGGGAAAGGTTACCAGAAATTTGGAAACATAGTATCTGTATGTAGATTTCTGTTAAGAAATAACGAATATTATTTGATAGCTCTTCTAGGGGATATCATCGGGTTTTCGTACTTGCTAAACAGCAGCAAAGTAAGTTTACTAACAGAATGCATACAAACATGTGCTGACTTAATGTCATACAACAACGAATCGTTATTTGCTTTAGAACAATTACACCAGATTCCGGTAGTTGATGACAGTGAACCAAAATTTGATGATGAATTCAAGTTAACGTTTTCAATGCCTACAGTCCTAGATACATCGCAATTGTCGGATGAATTTCTATATGATTTCTTTGTTTCATACAGTCATAAAGACAGCGACTGGGTGATGACTAGATTAGTTCCTGACCTAGAATCTTCTCTGTCTACAGATGATGTCATTTTGAAAGGTAACAAGCATATTTTAAATCGTTAACAGTTTAAGGCAGTTACCATTGAAATAAAAAATCTTTGTTTCGTATATAGATTTTATTTGAATAAAAAACCAGATGTTCAGCACTGGTCTCGCTGAGTTTTGATGACATCAAACAACGTACATTCAAAAGAAGAAACAAAGAGGTTAAATTTCATTTGAATATCTTTTTCTTTAGACATATGTTGTTCAAATGATTACCGTAATTTAATTCAAATGAATCATGCAGGATGTTTGAATCATAAATGTTTTTGTGCAAATGACTATTTCATTTGAACTGAATTTTGGTCCTTGCGTAAAATAAATTCGAGGTGATTGCGGACTAAAGAATCCATAATATGGAAAAGATTAAAGAAAGTAACTGCAATTATTGTAACAAATTAAGTAATTGGTAAATTTGATAACAATTACAGCAAAATCAATTCATATTTTAGCAGTTTAGGGTCTCATATGATTTAGCATAACTAGTTATGTTAAGCCAAAAGTATTATTCTTTAATAATTATTAACTGTGACTTCACTCCCTATTTTGTGAAAACGAGATTATTTTTTAAACAAATGTTATCGTTTAAATTATTAATAGTATTTTTTTTACATTTTTACTAGGCTGTATAGCGCATCGTGATTTCCAGCCTGGAAATTCATTTTTGAAAACATTATAGACGGTATCAAAAATAGTTCCAAAGTTATTCTTGTACTTACCAAAAACTTCGTAGAGAGTCAGTGGTGTCAGTTTGAAGCCAATCAGACATTACTGGAATCAATGGAACCTAAGAAGAAAATGAAGTGTGTAATTCCATTGTTACTTGCCATTGACGAAAATGAAATTCCAGAAATGTTTAAGGACATTACATATGCAGACTTCACAAATGAAAAGGATTATATGGAAGATGTTTTAAAATTAAAAAAAGTACTTTTACCGGGATAATATTTGCCAACCGACATTTAAAATGTTATTAGTACTTTCATATATCATTTATATCTATTAGATAATTAGGGTTTGCTATAAAGAGTACATTTGTATTAATCAAAGGTTCACTGTATTTACTAACACATTGCATTGCTCACAAAGATATCTTTACCTTTCATTCAGAACAAACCAAACAACTTTTTTTAAATGAATAAGAATATTGTTGTATAATATTTTTTTCGTTCTTGTAAAAAATGAATTCTTTGAATTAATATGCCATCTGTAATTAAGAGACTTATGAAAAACACATCATAAAGTAGATATATGAAGATGTGGTATGAGTGCCAATGAGACAACTCTCAATCCAAGTCAAAATTTATAATAGTAAACCATTATAGGTCAAAGTACGGTCTTCAACATGGAGCCTTGGCTCACACCTATCAGTAAGCTATAAAGGATCCCAAAAATGACAAGTGTAAAACCATTCAAACGGGAAAACCAACGGTCTAATCTATATAAAAAACCAGACACACTTATGAACCACATCAAAAAACGACAACTACTGAACATCAGATTCCTGACTTAGGACAGGTGCAAACAATTGCAGCGAGTTTAAACGTTTTAATGGTACCAAACCTTCACCCTTATCTCAAACAATAGTGAAACATCACAACATAGAAAGACACACTATAAATTATGAATTGAAATGGCTAAACTTAATCAAAAGACATATTAACACCAGGGAACATACACTGAACAAATAAATTTGATCTATGATACAATGTAAATACAAAATAAATAAACTAAGGGAAGAATAATTAAAGTTACATTTAATACCGCTAGGAAATGTTTAAAGGTTCCTTAAAGGAATTGACAAAAAAGTCACTACAAAATCTACTCTGATTACAGACTTGTCTGTGCATCTTATCAAGTTTTAAGGCATTGGCTAGACCTAGATGCATAAACGTTATTTGTATTTTATATTTGTAGAAAAATAAAACACTTACCTAGTTTTGTATGTGCATATTTTTTTTTCTTCTTTTCAAGTCTGCACAGTTGGGAAAATAAATGTGTTGTTGCCATATTTGACGAAAGGTTATGATAAACCGTAAGGTTTCATAATGATCCAAAAAAGTTTTCACTTCAATATGTATATAAAATTAGGATATCAATTTTAGACATTTGACTCACACTTAAATCGACACTAAAAGAAGATTGAGATTTTTAACTTTTCTATACATTATGTAGTTAAATTCAGTAGCACATGTATTGTGCAGTATAAATCGCCAAATTGATACTTCATTCCAGAGCCAGCGTTTCTGTGTAGTCCAAACTGTTGTGTTTTCGTCTGTTACATTTTGTCATGGTGTTGTTTATCTTTAAGTGATTAATTATTTTTATTGTTTTTGGTAATTTTTGGTAAAACATTCTAATTACACTGATATTCGTTGTATATTACAAATCTTTTTGTCCATTTTCAATTTGTAATAATGTTTTGTACTTTTCAACATCTGAATCACCATGGCAACATTGCGTTCGGTTTTGTAACGCCGCAAAAGATTCATCCCTACGAAATATATTTGACATGGAATAATTAACAAATTATAAATATTTAACTAACGATACCAATACTCAAATTAGTTGAAGATAGTTCAAATATACGTAAACATGACCGCAAATAAACAACAAAACAAAATCGAATTTGAAAAGCCACATGCATGTAAACATGTGTTTTTTTCAGTAATATGCAGGCGTCTAAATTAATTTAAATTTAAATATCGAGACAAAGTGATTTTGTTTAAGTAAAAGGTAGCGCATTTCTGTATTCGCAGTACCTGTATTGATGTGCTGTCATCAGCAAACCATACTTAGCTTGACAGTTCGAAAAAAGAGACAAATTATATCTAAGTCAATAACTACTCGCATCAAATAACGTCGATCAAAGTGAACACAGGCAAAACATAAAAATATATAGACATTATACATGCAAAGCAATGATGTGACAGGTTTCATATCTTCTAATTATTCATTTACGCCAAATGTATAAAATAAAAGTAAAGCACATCATAGTAAGAAATCTAAAGTCTGAATCACTTACCAGACAATTACCAAGTGTAATGTTTACCAATAATAAACAAGCAATGTATCAGGTGTAGTTTGGTTTTAACTGAAAAGTTTCAAAGGAGTAGAAGTTCAGTAATTTTCATAGAGATCTTTCGTTTCCACTCATTATCTCTGCTGTAACGCATCTAACAAAATTATGTAAGAAATATGTCTAATTAAACCTCTTTTTGTTTACTTGCACAGTTGAAGTTGCAAAGCTGGTGCAACCTTGTGGGAATTGAATATTAAGGAATTGGATTATATTATTGACATATTTTAACCAATAAAAAAATATCTATAAAAAAGTGTAATGATATTCGGCGCTTTACATTGCTTTGAACTTTGTATAATGGTATCGAAAATAGAAAAAATAGTTTTTGTTTTTTTTATATCGGAAAACAATAAAGATAATTACTGATAATCATATATAATGCAACTTTGGTTTTTGTTACTGTCGTGCTTCTTATTCATGTACTTTGAATTTGTGATATACAAATAAGTAAAATGTTTGCAATTCTATCAATTTGACGAATGTACATAGCTCCAAGAACAAAGATTGGATCGAATGCATGTCGCACGGTCTGTAACAGTTTGCAAAACCATAAGCGTGAAAGGCCATGGTAAGATTAACCGAAACAGTAGTAAAAAGCGTATAAAAAAGGAGATGTGGTATGATTGTCTATGAGACAACTATTCACCAAAATTCAAATGAAGTGGATGTAAGCAATTATAGGCAACCGTACGCCCGTCAACAATGAAAAAACCCATACAGTATAGTAGTCTATAAAATGCCCCAACATAAAGAAAATATGAAACAATTCAATTGAGAAAAGTAACGTCCTAGTTTATATAATATTTGACCTACCGAATTCGACTGACTTGTTTCCGAGTTTATTCTAACCAACACGACGGGTGCCACATGTGGAGCAGGATCTGCTTACCTTTCCGGAGCACCTGAGATCACCCCCAGTTTTTGGTGGGGTTCGTGTTGCTTAGTCTTTAGTTTTCTATGTTGTGTTTTGTGTACAATTGTTTGTCTGTTTGTCTTTTTCACTTTTAACCATTGCGTTGTCTGTTTATTTTCGATTTATGAGCTTGAATGTCCCTCTGGTATCTTTCGCCCCTCTTTTATAACATAACAATTTACGAAAACAAATATGACAGACACGAACCAACGACAACTACTGAATTACAGGCTCCTGACTTGGGATAGACACATATAGAGTATGGCGGAGTTAAATATGTCTGTGATCGGTCAACCCTCCCCTAACCTGGAACAGTGGTGTCAGGGGTGTACCTACCGTTAGGCACTTTAGGCACGAGTCTACATATAATTTTTTCAGAAATATTTTTATATTTATTAAACCAAATAATGACAACGTTATCTGTAGATGCACTTGAAATCGTCAAAACTCTTTAATTATCAAATGTCATGTGTACACTAGTCTATCATCCTTAGTGAATAGAGTATTGGATGTAATTGTATGTACATTATATTTCACCTTATATAGAAACTTAAAAGAAGAACTTGGGTTCACATCATTTCACATCTATCAACAAATACATGAATGGACCTCTCAACATGCTCAAAATCCTGACATTTTTTTCTTAGATACGTGATTTTTTTTATTAGTTGTTGTTGGCTTTTAACTAGCTTTCCATTTGGTTTTCATCCGACCTACAATAAAACCCTTGCCAAATTTGGGTGTCCGTTTGGCTGTGCGGGATGTATAAATACGCAGTCACTTCTGGTCAGAATGGGGACGTTTAATCCGATGCCTACTGTAGAGATAATGCCACGCTCTCTGCACGTTTAGAACACTTGCTACAACTCGTTGAGGAGTCTGTAGGAGGTTTGCTGAAAGGCAAAATATTTCTGTCCCTATTTTATAAACCCTCATTTTCCAAAAGCATTTCAACATTTCCAGACCTTTATCCTGGAGGACCCTTATTACAGGACCTACCTGATTATTATATTATTGTAAATTTGTTTTTGTCCTGAACATGCATGAACCATTTGTCACTGGACTTTAAGCAATCAATCAATCAATCAACTAGCTTTCAGCAACTTCAAGTACTCTCAGATCTACGTGTAATGACCATAATTATTCAAATTTCTTACAGTACAGGATACCAGAAAATAGGGATTTCTTGTATTTTGTTAGATAATATGAAAAGAACCGAACTTCTGGCTACAATAGGCATCGACTGTGTGTGTGTATGTGTTTGTGTTGCCGTGGAGGGTGAATGTTTAAGAATCAAAAGATGAATTGCCAATGCCTATACAGCCCAAAGGACAGTTTTATTATAAAGTAGTCTCAGTGTTTACGTGTCTATTCTTTTTTGATGCAGGATCGTCACTATGTACTATCAATTGACGTATACTTCAACTATCCTCAATCAGAAAAGAATATTAAAATACTGAACAGGATGTACTGCTTAATCAAAGGGCTACGCTAATCTACTCTGGGCAATGCATATTGTAAATAATTTTCTCTCTTTCAGATTTCCGATTGTTCTGCGTTAATTCATCAGTCAGATGTTTTTCTTCATGTATATTATGATAAAATTACCTGTAAATATTATGCTTTTGTACACAAAATTTTACAACAAAAATGCTGAAAACTGTTTTCCGTCGAGGGGCTTAGCCCCCTGAACCCCTACCAGGGCCCTGTTCTGGACCTGCTGGAGGCCATATGCGGCCCCTATACCCCCTGCCGCAATTTGTTCCTACAGTTTATTTGATACCTAGCTACGCCTTTGGGTGTGACAGCACAACATAAGAACAAACTATAAAAATCATTTCAAAGGGGCTTAACTTATCAGATCGAGACAGAAAAACATATAAATAAAACAGACCGGACGTGACAGGGTATTTATATATACATAACAACAAAGAAGACACAATGTACTAATCTGAGAGTACTCGCAGTTACTGACAGCTAGTTCAAAGCCGATAAAAACTAATAAAAGAAATCATGTATCTAAGACTAAAATATCAATCAGTACACATCCAACATCCATTGGACTTAGACGTCATTAACAGTCAGAGAAAAACATGGTCTTGTTCAACTTTAGGTATCGACAGAATGTAATTCCGTGAAAGAGCATATGTGTATAAAATACTATTTAGTGTGGTTTTAATTTATTGATAACAAAATCAATATCAAAGATCCAATTACAGTGTTGAATTGGTAACCTTTAAGAATAAGTTCATTTAAAGGATTGTTAGGTTTTTCCGGATCGTATCTGAATTTTCGGGCTCGATAATCCGTTTTAAATAAGTTTTCAACAGGTATGGCCAAACTTACAAACCAAATTTGTGTATCTATGGAAGAATTTAGTAAAGGTTTTAATTAATGTGTGGTAACGAAATCTCTGACTTGATAATTTCCCAGTTACACATATATTAGATTCATTGAAATCCTAAACGTCACTATAGACACGGGAATGGCGAACGAGTTGGGATATACAAACGGCGTTCAAAAAGAGAAAACTAAAAATAGGGAAAGAAA